GAGTTCTGAATGATTTGTAGAGTTAATAGTAGAGTGAACTGTATAGCCCTTGTGGCTTAGCGCTTCTTTTTGATTATAATAATAATAATAATAGTAGAGTGAAACAGGACAAGGAAGGGAGAAGCCAGACTTCAAAAGGGGACTACACAGGCAAAAGACAATTCCTGTAAGCGGTTGGCTACAAAGTGCAGGAAGGCAGAGTAGTTCGTACCCAGGGGCAACAAACAATGGAAAGGCCAAAGCCCATGGTTCAGCCAGAGATCCTCTTCAAGGGGGGCTCCTTGGCATGGTGAAGAGGCTCTTGGTCTGAGGAATTAGACCTGTCGTTCTCCTTCCTCAGACCAAACCTAATTACCCCCCAATTCCCCCTTCTCTATCCCATCCTCCCCCTTTTCCTTTCCTCCTCCTCCTCACCCCTCCCTTTTGCCCTTCCTTTTTGGCCTTTGGGATTTTTTTTTTCTTCTCCACAGGCACGCTAGTTCCTAGGTAGGGGAAAGGGTACCGGGGTCCATCCCATTCCGTTGAGGTTCTTGGCGGTGGCGTAGTTTGCCGTGGAATCTGGATTGCCTGGGGATGTCCCGATCCCTCTCCGGTATCCCGGAGGGTGGCTTTGGGTGTCTCTCGGGCGATGGGTGTATCTCTGGAAGCCACCTTTTGGATTCCGGGGTGGTGGCCGAAGGAGGTATGCTTTGTGGTGGATTTCCGGCCGCCCTCTCTTTTGTCCACCGAGGTAGCTCGGCAGATGTGAGGTTGCTATCCCAGATTGCCGGTGTACTGGCATGATGGGTAGGGTATGGCACGGGTTCCATGCTGCATCTGCGCTACTTGCGGTGCTGAGGTCCTCTTGGGTGCGGAGGGAGATTTCTGGCCCTTTCATTCCTCCTAGGAACTATCCCTCCCCGGTCCTCCCTTTTTTTTTCTTTTTATTTTCTTTTCTTTTTTTTCTTAAAAACAAAAAGAAAGAAGTAACCTAACCATGGCAGCCCTAGTCCATGAACCTGCTACCCCCGGGTCCCTTCTTGATACCGTACCCCATTCTGACCCCACCTCGTCTTTGGACCACTCTTCGGACACTCCTCATGCCTCTGTACCTCTTGCCGGTGCTGTTTCCTCACCCGCTTCAGGTACTGAGGCCTCGACTGACTCCTTCGATTTGTCTGACCTTCGCTCTCCTCTGACTATGCTTCCGGCCTCTCCCTCTACGGTGCGGCAATTTTCGAATCGCCGGCCCGTTCCACGTCAGACCAACTCTGGTCCCACGCCTAAACGCCAACGACAATTACCTGCTGATGATACTTCTCCACCTTCTCGTTCTTCTCAGAAAAGATCGACACGTCCTTCACTACCTTTCCACGCTCAGTTTCAGACTGCACAATGGACTAAATTCTTCACTTTACGACCGACTTCCTCTACTGCCTATCTTTCTGACCACAGTATTGGCAAGGCACTCCTACGCCATGTTGGTAAAGATATTTCTTTTCATGCTCTTAAGAGCGGTATGCGCATCATCACTGTACAGAATGCTACCCAGGCTCATGAGCTTTTTCGTCTTTCCCATATCGATACTGTTCCTGTCACTATTGAAAAACATCCTCTTCAAGGGGGGCTCCTTGGCGTGGTGAAGAGGCTCTTGGTCTGAGGAATTAGACCTGTCGGTCTTCTTCCTCAGACCGAACCTAATTACCCCCCAATCTCCCCTCCCCTATCCCATCCTCTCCTTTTTCCTTTCCTCCTCCTCCTCCCCACCCCTCCCTTTTGCCCTTCCTCTTTTTGGCCTTTGGGATTTCTCCCACAGGCGCGCTAGTTCCTAGGTAGGGGAAAGGATACCGGGGTCCATCCCATTCCGTTGAGGTTCTTGGCGGTGGCGTAGTTTGCCGTGGAATCTGGATCGCCTGGGGATGTCCTGATCCCCCTCCGGTATCCCGGAGTAGCTTTGGGTGTCTTTCGGGCGACGGGTGTATCTCTGGAAGCCACCTTTCGGATTCCGGGGGTGGTGGCCGAAGGAGGTATGCTTTGTGGCGGATATCCGGCCGCCCTCTCTTTTGTCCACCGAGGTAGCTCGGCAGATGTGAGGTTGCTATCCCAGATTGTTAGTTTACTAGCATGATGGGTAGGGTATGGCACGGGTTCCATGCTGCATCTGCGCTACTTGCGGTGCTGAGGTCCTCTTGGGCGCGGAGGGAGATTTCTGGCCCTTTCATTCCTCCTAGGAACTATCCCTCCCCGGTCCCCCCTTTTTTTATTCTTTTTTATTTTTTTTTTTTTTATTTTTCTTTTTTCTTTTTTTTTTTTTTTCTTAAAAACAAAAAGAAAGAAGTAACCTAACCATGGCAGCCCTAGTCCAAGAACCTACTACCCCCAGGGCCCCTGCTAGATACCGCACCCCGTTCTGACCCTGCCTCCGTCTGTTTGGAACCACTCTTCAGACACTCCTTCATGCCTCTGTACCTCTTGCCGGGCAGTTTTTTCTCACACCCGGCTTCAGGTACTGAAGCCTCGACTGACCTCCTTCGATTTATCGGACCCTTCGCTCTCCACTGACTATGCTTCCGGCCTCTCCCACTACGGTGCGCAAATTTTCAAATCCGCCGACCCGTCCACGTCGGACCAACTCTGGGTCCCACGCCTAAAACGCCAACGACAATATACCTGCTGATGATACTCTCCACCTTCTCGTTCTTCTTCAGAAACATCGACACATCCTTCACTACCTTTCCAACGCCTTCATTTTCAGACAGAACAATGGACTAAATTCTTCACTTTACGACGACTCCTCTACTGCCTATCTTTCTGAACCAGTATTGGCAAGGCACTCCTACGCCATGTTGGTAAAGATATTTCTTTTCATGCACTAAGAGCGTAACCGGCCGCATGCCATCACCGTACAGAATCTACCCAGGCTCATTGACTCTCTACGTCTTTCCCATATCGAAACTGTTCCTGTCACTCATGAAAAACATCATCCCTCAATTCTTGTAAGTGGGTACCGTCATTCTGCCCCATACCTAGTTTCAACAAAATTTCCAGACATTGGCACTGACATTCTTGAACGTCTGAACTCCAAATCCTCCCAATCCTCAGGTAGACACTTACGTTCTTCCCCCGCAGGCG